CCATTTCGCCGCTGATAGGATGTTGCTGGACGTGTGAAATACGTTTTCAGGCTGTGACACTAAATAAATACATTACGACGAGAGTGTCAAATGTATTTAGGTCGGATTCATTTTCTGTACCGAATGAATTGGTTGAGCGAGAAACTGATGGTCCTAAACATTTTATGTCGAGAGCAAATTTTATGAATAACATTTTACAAACGATTCCGTATTAACAACATACTTTGTGGTAACTATTTGTTTGGTTTGGCCGTAAAACGTAAATAATTATCACTTTGTATTAAAATAAATGAGTTATCTACAATAGTTTGTTAGGAAAACCAACACAGTGGTATTAATATGAAGACTATATGTATTTTCTACTCCTATTGTGTGTTTGCAGGTAGACATTGTAGGTCTAATTTTAGTAATAAAATATACATTATTTGCTTCGTACTTTGTGACAATATAAATGTCTTTGGGAATAAAGTAGACAATTATGTTGAAATGAATAATTAATTTAAGCAGTTTAATTAATAGATTCCAGATTTTCTTTTGGAGAGAATAAGATATTTTCCTCTTCGTTTTACGACATTTTCTACTTATTTACCATGAAATTTTAATATTGTATTTAATATTGTATTTGCAATATATCTAAAATGTTATTTGTTTAATTGGCAATGATAATTATTGTTCAGATTTCGTAAAAGAGAACCTATTAGTTCCACGAAAGACACACATAATACAAACGTTGGTGAAAGACTATAAGCAACTATGTTGTTATAGTCTCTTAGTGTCTTTAAAGTTTTTATCAATGATTTGATGAATGTACTTTTGTCGGTAGAATTAGGTGAAATTTCAGTGTCTAGAACAGACAATTCAGCTATTACGATCCGAAAAGCTCTAAGTTCGGAAAAACTAAGAATTTCTTTCCATTTCGAAAGACCATTGCCTTGCACGAGATTCTTAGTATAATGTAAAGCATCAAAACCGCTTATTTAAAAAACTATTATTACAAAATTACTACTTTCTATATAATTTAAATTAATGAAAAGTACAACACTAGTGTTCATTGTGACTTGTAATTTTCACGTTCTTAGCTTTCCATTTTACAAACGTCTTTTTTCTTGGCTTAGAAAAAAAATTTAAAAAAATTAGGAAAAACCAAAAATTGTGGAGAATGGAAGCTTCTTTAAAAAACGGTACAACAGACTGGTAGAACAGCAGTTGAAAGATTGTCTTACATTACTACACGAAGTTTTTAGAAGGATAGCATAAATATTGCAACAATATAACAGAAAATGTGAGGCGAGTGTAATTTCTCTTTATTTCACAGCAATAGAAAATATTTCTGAAAAGTACAGTTACATGTCTAATTATTTAATAAATTTCTTCTCCAACTCTCTCTTTACAGTGTACACCAGTCCTTATTGTGCCTTTCGTCTTCATCTTCAGATTGAAGTCCCTCTTCACAAAACAATTTAAAACTATTCGAACTTCCACATCTACAACAACTGCACAGTTCATATATCCCGCAAAGCACTGACTCCAGCTCTTCATATAACACACAAAAACCAAAGCTTTAAAGCCACGCTTTTTACTGCAAGCAATGCTTGACATTTCTTATTCTCTCAACACTGTACCTTCACGACGAACTAGATCGTTTCAACAAAACCTTATTTCAGTTGGACCATCTCAAATGTGAAAAATCTGAGGTCGTCGCAAAACATCAAGCACTTTTCGAAACAGGATGTCAGAAAAGAGAGGCAATTTACACCATCCACTATATTTTTATGCATGAATGTTGAATGTCACAAGAATCTTTCAATTTTTGGTAACCAAATGATTCATGCAAAATAGCGAAGTTAATTCGCTTTTTTATATAAAGTTTTACAGTTCAGTTAATGACTTATTTTAAAGAGTCATCCAAAATGAAGCTAATATTGTCCCTGCATCACATATACAGCATGAAACATGCCTTCACTCGCTAATGTGAAATTATTAGAAAACATTAAAATCATATTATATCTACAAGGTGCAAACGTGAATATACATACATATCTGAGACACGTTATCACGTTATTACTATATTTCAGTGCAAAATAAAATATAAATAAAAATGCTAATAAGAAAAACATTTAAAACAAGAGAACACAATTATTATTACATATAAAAACATACTAGCTTCACTTGAAAAAGAAGATAATATTTCCTGTTTTCAATATTATTTTCATTCAATTACATGTTGGTAATATTATGTCAAAACTAAAGTAAACATTTCAAATCTCATAGATATTATGTAAATATTGTCAAACATACAAAAATTATTAGTTCTTTCTTGGCCATTTCCTTTCCCACGTTCTTTTGCTGGTATTTAAACACGATTTGTAAACACAAAATATGAGATAGCACTTTGAAAATATGTACAACAACCACATACTGAATTATTCGACATACAAATAGTTACATAGGACACACCCCTATTTGAATGACGGGAGACTACAGCGAAGCAATACAATCAGCACTTTATCAGCAAGGCTTGAACTCAGGAAATAAAAATGGCCAAACGAATCTAAAGTTTACAACCGCCGTTCATGCACTGAAGCATCACCGTCGTCACAAGCCCTGATTTGGATGACTCTCCTCAATGCGACAGCTGGTCTACTTCTCATTACGGAGCAAATGCCGTGCAACTCTTTGACTTCGAGGACTAGATCGCACTCCGCTGTTTGGCGAGTGGAAGAGAACGCAGAGGAAAGTGAATTCAGAGGAGCAGCGGTCATCACAACGCTGGGTTTTCTTATCTCCCACAAGATAGCAAATAACTCAAACATTTTTAAAAGCTTCGAAATTGTAACCTGAATCAATTAACATTTCCCTGCAAATATTTATAACTGAAGCAAGTTCAGTAATTGTCTGAGGATAATTGAAACACAGAATATTTTGTATAATATTAAATCTCCTGAAAGAAAATTTGCTGATCAGAAGAAAATGACTTTGAAAGAGCCAAGCAGAATTATAACTCATTAAAATCAGTTGTATCAATACGCTACATCTTCCGAAAAAATCCGCAAAATTAAAATCTATAATATTTGCCCATTACCATTATATAAAGTATCATTTACGATTACTTCTTTTTCTTTGACTAGCTAAACAACACTTATAATGTCTTGTGAAAAACGTTTTATTTCATTGCTCTTATTGTTACATCACTGCTGGAATTTTACAAAAACCAACATTGATTTCGTCTACTTGACCACATTCCTATTCAATCAACTTTAACTGATTTCCCTTGAGAAGACACATATGTAGATAGGACATTTGAGCTTTCTCAAAATCATTTATGTAATGGTAAAGAACAAAATAATTTATGGCACGATAGAGTACATGGGATTTATTCATTCGATACTATTAAATTTTTCGATTTAGCGAAACTTGCGAGTTTCTGAAGGTGATTTTATTTTATTATCTTTAATTATAATTTACTATTATTTCATGGGAAAAAATTGTTCCTTTCTCAGAATTTATTTTGTAGCCAATAATTCCAATACCTACAAATTCACAATTCAGATAGTAAAGATCAATTGTTGATACCCAAATTAATTTTAAAACTTCATTTTACAGTCATGTTTATTTTGAAAATATATCTTGATAATTTGTTTCTGCCCTAAATCTAATTACCATTTAGGGTTTATGCGATTGGTCTATAGGTTCAAGAACAAATATTGATTTTGTTACCATTATACTATATAATCCAATTCATTTTCTTTAATCGTCCCGTCATTGAGAAGTTCACCTGGAGTGGATCTCCATATCTAAAACATTATTTGTAATATGACCGGCATGATGGTTCGCCAGTGCAAACTTTCATTATACTCTTCGAATATTATTTTATAATGAATATTCTACCTCACATTGTGAAGATATAAATTATTATTAAACTGCTTGTCATTGGCCGAGTATTACTATTATGTTGATGATAATGTAATTTGTATAAAAATATGTTCTTTAAGAACCCAAAACTCTCTACCTTATTAAAGAACTGGCACTTTTAATCTGTCAAACTAACTTGTCATTTCCATTAGTAATAAACAGTGCGGTATATCTTTTTACAAGATGTAATATCTCCCCAAAATTTAACTCACTTCACTAAGACTATCTATCGAATTATCTTCATTGTGTCTAACTATAAAACAGTGTTTCTCGACTATTCTTGGTTGTTTTTCTAACATGAAAACTAGAATATTTGGTTATTAGCGAAGGTGTAGATGAAACTCATATAAAATACAGATTTTAAATTAATTCACGATTTTAAACCAAAGGATAGTGACGCAAGATATGGAGAAATGGTAACAAGTAATGTTTCTGGAGGAACGAAATACAATGCATTAGAAACACATTGGTGATGATGTTAATCAGTAACTTCAATGTAAATACGAATATACCATTTTAATTAAACGAAATGACATAAATATCATAAATGAATGTCGTAACTCCGAGAATCATTAAATTAAAAAAAACAACAGTAAAACGTCAGCAAGTAGACAGCAGTAAAATCAAACTTTTAGAAAACATAATGGCAAACCCAGTGGTTGTAAACTGAATGATTCACACGGAATGTAAGTAATCGAGTAGGTATGACCTTGAGAAAAATGGAATGAGGTTAATCCCGATTACTGTTTTCAAAATCCGCCCTCACCCTCTCCTCATCCACTCCTCTCCATTTCACCCTTCCACGCACCAGACGGCGTGCCTACCCCTCCTGTATCTTTGGCAACTGCTGTTTTTTATTTTTTTTATAATTATACCCTGTTAGTAATCTTGTTTTTCTATAGCAGTTTATATTCATTAAACATTAACAATTACAATCTAAGCATTATAGGTAAAAAATGCACACTACAAATTATGGTAACTAGAAATACGAGTCAAGCAAACAAACATAAAAAGATCCTTGTTTCATCTGGAATAATCTTTCTTCCATTAAATGACCAATATATGTAAAACGAAACGTCCCCAATTAATTATACATCACATATTATTTTCACTTTTTTCTTCAATTAGATGCCAAAAATAATTAAATCTTCATTAACACGTTTTAATTTATTTTTTTTCTGTAAATCGTCCCATTGAGGCAGCGGAGAACGGTGGTGGAGCTGTTCACTGCCGCTACTGTCGCCGTCGCCATCGCTGCCGCCGCAGCAGTAGCAGCCGCGAGGGTTGCAGCCAACGGCGGCGGTCCGTGGTGAGCGCCGCGTGTCCTCAGCTGCCGCGAGGGCGGGCGAGGACGCGCGACGGCTCGCAGATGAGGGCGGCCGGGGCGCGGCCAGGCGAAGTCGCTGAGGACAGACGAGGACCGGTGGTCGCTCAGCGAACGGCGCGGCGGTGGGCGAGGACGGGGTGAGGGAGGCATTAAGGCACGTTGAGGCGGGATGTGGGTTGAAGACGGATTGCGGGCAGAGCGAGCACAGAGCTAGGATGGAGTGAGGACGCGGTAAAAACTGTTTTTTCTTCAAGGCATCGAACCGTTTCATTCGATTCGGCTTCGGTTTCATGCAATAAATAAGTTGGTTGTAGTGTTGGTTTCGGTTTTTAAGTGATAACTTTTCGATTTTGGATTCAGAAAGGTTTTTCTATACTTTTATTAACAAGTTTACGTTGAAACAGAATTAATCTACAATATGATCTGTTTTTACTTGCATAACACATCGCAGACGTCTGAATCGGATTTTAGAATACATTTTAATAATTTTTTTTGTTTATTTGTAAATCATGACGGCTATCTCAGAAGTTTTTTCTACACATTTAAGATCTCAGAGTTGCTTTCTAGAATTAGACATAAAATTAACCGTAAAGGTTTTTATGTCAACAAATATTTTGCATTCATATATTTTTTTCTTTAATGTTAAGAAATGAATTATCTTTGAACCTTATTCCGCACCAGAAGAAGGTATTTTAACACATAATACTGTTGTCTCAGAGCCAGCTGTTCTGGTACGCTCTTCCATTCAGCAGAATCCGCCTCGTGGATAGATGATCTACTCTCCAACAATGACAGCTAGATGTACGTTATCACCTCCTAAAAATCGTCTCCGACATTCGAATTCAACATTCTGCCAGTAGTGGCAATGAGTAACACTATAAATTTCAACTAGATGTCTCGTTAACTCGGACATGGGATTGACCATTGATCGGCGTACGACAGCGGGGAAAGAGCTGTCAAAAAAATTAGGAACCGCATTGGTATTCCGTCTCTGTTAAAAATCAATCTCGAGCACGACACATGTATTGAAGAACGATGAAAAATTACCGTAGAATCTCGTTTTACAAAGTCGTGCAATACGTCCACGAGAACAAAGTACACAGGATTTCGATCCCGAAATAAAGTTTTCGATCCAAAGTTTCACGTGCAACGTACGATGCGAAAAAAATTAAATCGTCCATTAAACATGCCAAATATTTCACTACAAACGTGAGTTGTTGGAGACGACATTCAGTCAAATTTATTCCTGTCCAAACAAACGGAATTGCGACACAAAACTGTTTTTTGAAAACCCGATTAATAACGTTTCGGTTCCCTGCCTTTCACTGGAAATGGGGGAGGTAGAGGGAGAACGACGACATGTAAATGCACAATAAAAATGCATGAAGCGTGCGGCTCAGCTAACAGCGAAGGCACCATGCATCAAACATGTGCCGAACGCCGTATTGAAGGCAGTATGAGGCGGGAAAGTTAATGCAAAGCAAGCACATCACACGAGGGCAGGCACCGACATGCGGAGTGGATGGGAAATTCTGTGTTAAGAACAGAACATGCAGAAGGACGAAACATTAAACTAAGAGTATAGTGCATCAATGTACGTGCAAAACATTTACAATCTTTACGAATGTTTCCAATAACATTTTAACCTCCATACATTCATCGTATGAGCATAAGTAGCGAGTTTGTGTTGTAACTGTTTCATTCTGATAGAAACGTGATAGCACAAAACGAGAGAGACACGCTTCTATTAAATTGACATTGTAAATCTCCACATTGTCACAATTTTTAATTATTTTATCAAAATCTTACAATAATAATATTAAATAATGACGACTTCATTGTCTACAATAATAATATTACTTTAAAACAAAATAAAATAATTTTAATACAAATGTTTGGCAAGTGTATTATATCTTTCTACTTCTTTCACAGCATAAATATTCAATTCATATTATTAAAATTATTTGCTAATCAGCCCGAATATGTTTTACTATATTACATATATTATAGTTCTACCACGTCTAAAATCGCTGAACACATTAATTACTAATAGGTTAAACCTATTATCATATTCTCTTCATTAAAAGCTGGTAATACTAATAATTAATCCAATATTCATAATGACCAATAATAATGATACATTATAACAGTAATAGCTCTAATAATAGTAAAAAAGATAATTAACGTCTTTAGAGAGACTCATATTTTGCGTTCTTCTAAATGATGACCAATTTTCGATTTTTTTGTGGAAAGAAACTAAGCAATTCTTTCGCAATTAATCTCGCTTTAATTGCCACCAATGCAGAATTTGAAGGATGGTTTTCAAAAGTGCATTATTCAGTAATTTACTTAGGCAAAAAATCAGTGCACGTTAATTACACGACAAAATTATACCCTTCAATCCATTTCTTCTTTCTTTGCGACTCAACAAAGAAAATATTCAGTTATGTTTGCGAGCACGACCGAGAGACGAAGATGAGTAGAGGGTTTAATGGTTGAGCACCTTGGTTCTATAGATTGCGGTTTCGAATTTTGTTCTGGACACGAATGTTTGGCCGTTGTCATTCGCTGTTGCACTATGTGTGCGTGTTTGTACATGTATGTGTGTGTGCGTGTTTGCGCTTGAACAGTATACGCATGTTTGTGCTTGAACGTGAACGTGTTTGTGGTCTGAGAGAGAGACCTTTGGGCTATGCAGACTGCATAACCGAGAAGCCTTTCAGAATATGTCAAGTGGATGGATTGAGAATCATTCTTTCGAGAACGTTGAATAACCTCCATAAACTGTGAAAAGCTTTAACATGACTCATGCAGAATCTGGACTGAAATGAATAAAAAGGAACTAGTGGAAACCCATTAAAATTTCGCGGTTACACTTATTGATCTTCGCATTTAAAAATATTCGTTGAACTTTGCACTTAAAAAATAGATTATCGCTTCGCTAAATATCAGCACAATTACTTGCGTCAAACTAGTACTAACTTCATTCAAAATATTAAATGAATGTCGGCAGAAAGCGCCCATTCTATTATTTTTAAGATATTATTAACTACTCGTTACACTGAAAGGAATTATTATAAGTGTACCATCTAGTACTCACAACCTTTGATTTAATGAAAAAACTACAAAATTTGATCGACGATAAAGCTCAAAATACATTCTAAACAAAATATTAATATTTCCAACACAGAGATATAAACAAGATGTGGAATTGAAGAGACTTAGGGCCTTTCCAAAGTTAAATACCCAAATTCCATACCAGGTGCCGAGACTAACACACGTGGCACGAACGAAAGATGTCCATATTTCACAGATCATCATGTGCAAAAATAGAAATCTAAAAAATTCTAATTAGCGCTCCATAATAAAATTTTCGATCCCAATTAAATAAAAGATGAAATAAGCGAAGAAGGGTATGAAGAAATAGAAAAGCAAGAAGAAGAGTATACGGAGAAGAATGAGGAGAGGGGTAAGAAGCACGAAGGGGAAGAAGAAGAAGAAGAAGAAGAAGAAGAAGAAGAAGAAGAAAGGGAGAAGAATGAGGAGAGGAGTAAGAAGAAACACGGAGGGGAAGAAGAAGAAGAAGAAGAAAAAGAAGAAGAAGAAAAAGGAGAAGAAGAAAAAGGAGAAGAAGAAAGAATGCATGGGTTACAGATAGTCTCTCTTCCGCGCTGCCCGTTCTCTCGCCATTAAATCGCGCGACAGCATCGCCCCCCCCCTGGCCTCGCTCCTAAGCACGCATCCACGCGCGCCCTCTTCGTGAAAACCGCCGCCCCACCGCCCCACCACCCGCTCCTCCCCCGCGGCCCCCCGCCGTCGGGGCATGTACCGCCAAAGTGCCGTGCAGGTGTCACCCGACGCGCGCGCCGCCGGATCCGCGCTTACGTCACGCCCCTCCTCCCTCGCCCCCCCCCCCGTGCAGTCGGCGAAGCGGCGGCGTAATGAAATATAGAGACGAGCCACGCCACACCGCCCAATCCAAGCCATGCACGCCAGCCGCGCCCCGCCCCGCCCCGCCTGCCACACCCCCGCCATATTCCGTCATGCCACGACACACCCCGTTCATGCCCTGCCAAGCCTGCGCAACTCCCCCGCCACTCCCCGCCCGCCGCGCCTTCCTACCACGTTACACCACGTTACGCCCGCCCTGCGCCGCCCCGCGTCCGCCCTGCCCCGCCCCGCCCCGCCTCCGCCGTTTCGAGCCACGCGTCATGCTTCGATCGACCACGCACACTCCCAGTCCCGTCTGTCCCGTTCAGAGAGGTCCTGTCCCGGTCAGACAGGTTCTATCCCGTTCGGGCCTTTCCCGGTTCACTCCAATCTCGCCCAGTCGCTTAGATTTAGTTCCGCCACGCACCGCGCCACCATATACGAGTAACCCCCGCCCATGCCGCCTCGAATCCGCCCACTCACCACTTCCCACCACGCAACGCCACATAACGTTTCACCGCACCTGCCTCGTCTCACTGCATCTCGCCTCGCCTCACCTGACCTCACATCACGTGGCTTCACTTCACTTCACCTCGCCTCACTTCACCTCACTTCGCTTTAACGTCGGTTTACTTCACCTCAGCCTCGCTAAGCCGCATTGAAAACCAACATCATGGGCGAGCCACATGAGTGATACTACTGGGCACATTTTCTGACAAGATTAATTTACCAACTTCCTCCACGCGCACAACTTTTCCGAATCTCCAGCATCTACGCTGTGGAATCACACACGTTTTCATTTAACCATACGATTTATCTGTTCGCGAAACACACAACAACATACGGAAGGAGTCAGTACTC